TCAACGCCCGCCTCGCCGCCAATGCCACGCCCTTCGGTATCTGGGCGGCTGCGGCGGCCGCATCCCCATCGTCGTCGGTCTACCGCAACACCACGGATCAGTGCGTCGCGTACATGTCGAGCGTGGACGGCCAGATCATGCCCATGCCGGACAACATCGTGCCCAAGCACTACAAGGACATCGCCAACATCCGCGACCCCAAGCTGCGCGACGCGTGGTACAAGGCGTATGACACCGAGTTCCTCGGCCTCATCCAGAACGGCACGCTCAAGCCCATGCGCCGCCCCGCCAAGGTGCGCGTCCTCCCGCTGAAGGAGATCGCCTCCCGGAAGTCCGACGGCCGGTGCAAGTGGCGCGGCTGTGTCATGGGCAACCTGATGCGGCCCGGCGTCGACTTCACCAAGACCTTCGCGAGCGTGGTCCGCTACGGCACGACCCGCACCGTGCTCAACGTGGCCGCGCAGGAGGGTCGCAGCCCATGGCGTACACCTGGGCGGAGCGCGGGGAGGGCGAGACCTGGTACTGCGAGATGCCGAAGGGGCTCAAGGGCAAAGCCGAGTACTGCTACATCGATCCCATCACCGGCGAGGAGAAGGACATGGTGTGCGAGGTCGGCAACCTCTACGGCGCACCATCCGCAGGTAACGCTTGGTGGAACCACGTCAAGTCCATCAACAAGGCGTTTCCTGGGCTCGTTCAGTCCGAGGCGGACCCGAGCTGCTTCATCCTCACCCGCAACAGCACGAAACTCATCGTCGTCATCTACGTGGACGACTTCGGCATCTTCCACTCCGGGACCACCGCTGGCAAAGCGCTCGCGCACGAGTACATCGAGCACTTCAACAAGCACGTCGGCAAGCCGCTCAAGGTCCACGAGGGAAAGGTGCACGAGTTCCTCGGGCTCACCATCACCAAGACGCAGACCGGTTTCAAGCTGTCTGCCAGCAAGTACATCGACATGCTGCGCGCGCTTCTTCCCCTCAGGCGTCACGCACGCGGGCTACAAGGTGCCCGCGGACAAGGACCTCCCGTCCATCGTCATCAGCGCAGCCGAGAAGAAGACCGCGCCCGACCCGCAGCTCCTCCAGCGCTGCCAGTGCCTCATCGGCAGCCTCATGTTCGCCACCAACGCGCGCCCCGACATCCAGTACACCGTCTCGCAGCTGGCGCGCTGCATGGCTTGGCCCGACGCGAACATCGAGGCCGCCGCCGAGCGCTGCCTCATCTACCTCATCGGCACGCAGGACCTCGGCCTCCACTACGAGCGCGTTGCCGACCCCAAGCTCTTCGGCTGCTCCGACGCGAACTGGTGCACCCGCCAGAGCACCTCCGGCTGCGCCTTCAAGATCGGCACCGCGATCATCTCGTACTTCTCCAAGAAGCAGGGTCACATCTCCCTCTCGACGTTCGAGGCCGAGATCTCTGCCGGCACGCTGGCGGCTTGCGAGGCGGTCCACCTGCGCTCGCTCCTCGCGTCGCTCGGCTACAAGCCCAAGGGCCCGACCGTCATCAAGATCGACAACACGGCCGCGCTACGCGTCGCCGAGGACCCGGTCATGCACGACAAGACGAAGCACATCCTGCGCAAGGAGCTCAAGATTCGCGAGCTCGTCGAGTCCGGGGAGGTCAAGGTCGAGTACGTCGAGAGCCTCAAGAACTTCGCCGACTTCTTCACCAAGCCGCTCCCGCGCAAGGAGTTCGAGTCGTTCCGCAAGGAGATCATGAACGACACCGCCTAGGACGGCACAGAGGGGAAACGCCGACTTCCCCTTCATCAAATGTAGTCGACAACCGGCAGTATGGGCGCTCCTGGAGCTCCCCGAGTCACCTGTATGTTTGTCCTCCACCCTTGAGGAGGCTGCGCAATTGTGCGCGCGATAGTAGGAGATGTAGGAGTCGTCTAGCTTCTTCAGATCCTCAGCCTCGCTACCCGATGCGAGGATGGGGGGCTGTTGAAGACCGACGACCGCGCAGCCGTCTAGTCTACGGCCACACACACACACATAGTGTCCTTACCACCCCTGGACTGCATCTGCGCAGTTTCGTACCGCTGCGGCGCGGTTTTGCAAAAACCGTTCTGCAGCGGCGCGGTTTTGCCCTTCACCCGCAGCCTGGATTGATAGTCATTGTGGGTGTGGGGGCCGCGGGCCAGGACTTTTGTTTGAACAAAGTTTTGACAGTACATTTCTGTCGGGCCTTGGAACAGCTTGTGAGTGGTCACTGAAGACCTTCACATTGTTTGAACAAAGTTTTGACAGTACATTTCTGTCGGGCCTTGGAACAGCTTGTGAGTGGTCACTGAAGACCTTCACACCCTTCCGCACGACCCCTTCGCCAAGAAGTCGGACTCCACCGCGGCCGACCACGAGGAGGTGCGGGCGGCGCTGGCCGACTCTGTCACCCGCACGTTCGACCCGGACGGCATCGTCGGCGGCTTTGTCGCTGGCGTCGGCACCGACCAGGTCGAGGACACCTTCCCCGACTCCAACCCCACCGACACGCCCGCCATCCTCAAGGCCAAGACGGCGGCGCGCAATGCGGCGGAGGCACGGGCGCGCGGCGGGCTGTGGGTCAAGTTCACCTCGTCCGTCACCGCGCTGCCTCGCCCGTACATCGGCGCTTCCATCCTACTCGTCCTGCTCGCGTGCCTCATCCCGGTCTACATGGGCTCGCCTGCCTCGATCGGCACGCCTGTGGCCGACGCCGTGGACGAGCCCTCGAACATGGGCGTGATGGTCGAGTCCGTCACCGCACTACCCCTCGAGCTGTCCACCGGGCCGGCAACTGGCTCAGGTGGCGGAGCAGAGTACGCCAGGCGCAGTTATCAAAATACAGCAGATATGAAGGCCGGCCCTCACCCCGGACCTGCTGATAAAGGCGTGCGAAAGAGCTATTTAATACGAAAGCAGCGAATCAAAGTGATGGCCTGCCGCAGGCGAAGAAAATTTAGGGTTTGGGGTTCCCCTATGCCAAAGAACTCGAGCGAGGATTTCGGCGGCCGGCGCGCCGAGCACAGCGGTTCGCGCTGCCTGTATGCTCGCGCTGGTTACACCGTTGCTGTGGCCGTCTTCGTCCGTATTGTACACCGAGCTGGCGCCACAGCAGAGTACAACAACACTCAACAGCTCGAACGAGCTGCTCCACTGGTGGGAGTGGTGGTAGGAACGAAGGCGCACCTGTCAGCGACTTACCGCCGTTCATTCCCGTCTCTCAAAGCTGGTTACACCGTCGATGCGCACATCGAGGCGCTCGTGGACGAGAGAGATGTCGCCTCCTCTTTCGTCCCGGGGCACTGTTCACGCCGGTAGGCCCCGTACACTGCCAAGTACATTAGCCTTCATCTCTCCTACCGCCGGCCGGGAGTGCAGCCGCCACCAGTGAGATTGTCCTCGACGTTGGCACCTGCGAAGTAATGAACAACAGGCAGTGCGTCATATGGCGCTATGATAGCCCTGCGGTGGACGTCCTCGACGCAGACGAGGCGGAGCTCATCTGCGCGGCGCAGATCGCCGACTGTCTCTCTCTCCCTGCGCGAGTGGTTGCACCACCCTGGATGAGGCATCTGGGCTGGGGCAGGGCCGTCAGTAGAGGAGGGCGACTGAGGGCGCGAGGCCACCAATCGTCAAAGTCTGCTGCTGACTGACTGTCAATCACTGACTGAGCTATCGCATCGGCGGTACTAGTAGGGTTACTACGAGGTCTCTGTGCGGGATGTGCTGGGGGGCTGCCCCCCAGTCGATTGCCGCATAGTTCGTCGTATTAGCCCTATCATAAACCTCTTATTCACACCTTGCACTTTGAAAAAAGAAATGTCCAACTTTTGTCGAAGATCCGGAGGGTTTATCGGAGCATCACCCAGCGCCATCGAGCAGCCATCGAGAACAACAAGACTTTGGCGAGCCAACGCAGCCGAGAGATAAAATCTTCGCAAGAGGAGAGCCTAGAGTCTCTTGCTAGAGCGGTGCAGCCAGGCCGCACAGCGCGAACTCGCCGTACTGAGCCTAGCGCAGCGCGAACTCGCCGTCTGAGCCTAGCGCAGCACGAACTCGCTCCTGTCGCTGCGCAACCCTAGCCGAGCTCCATTTTTTTGTTTATGCCTTCGATATGAAACAAACGCAAGGCAGACACACGCATGACGCATCTCTCTCGGGCCCCAGACATCCCGCTCACCCGCCACCACCGCGCGCACCAACACCGGCCGAAAGAAAGAAAGAAAGACGTACAACAAAGGAAAATATTACCGGCGCCGCGGCGGGCTACAAACAGGCGCTATGCTCACGCTAAGTTGTGGAAAGTGACCCCCAGCCTGGAACACCCATACCCCCGCACCATCTCCGTCGCTTGGTTCCATAACCTCTGCCACAACCGGGAGCGGCCAGGACTCATAGACTCGGTCGAAAGACCCCAGATAGGCATCCATGCCTCTCTGGACAGGGTGGCCCGCCACAAGGACCGCAGGAATTGCGACTCGCCGCTTTCCTCCCGCTGTGATTCTGTGTGAGCTCTGTGTCTTGATTTGCCAACGATATACCTGTGCTAACACCGGCCGAAAGAAAGAAAGACGCTCGCGCCAAAGGAAAATTCGGAGGGGGCCGGACGAGGCGCACCCCGAGGGCCCCACTCTTTCCCTCGCATAGCGGCCACTCTTCGGATCGCTGGTCGAGCGACCCGGGGGATGCCCCGCGCGCCTGACCCAGGCGCGAAAACGAATCTGCGAGGCGTGGCCGCTCATGCGGCCCGATGGGGAGGAACGGGGCGAGCCCCCTCCAACCCACCCGCGCTAGGTCTCGGGGGACGAAGGGGTCACACCCGACGACCTCGGGAACTAGCCGGGGCAGTCGGAGAAGGGGCCATCCGTGCACTGACGGTCGGCCGTCAGAAAACACGCCTCCGTGGCTCGGGTTACACCAATCCTCGCTACCCAACGCGGCCAAAGGATATCCACCTCGAGAACCTCGAGAAAGGATGTTAGGCGCCGCGGCGGGCTACAAACAGGCGCTATGCTCACGCTAAGTTGTGTCGCCGCCTCCGCTCTCGCCCCATCGACGCGGTGCATCTTCAAATCGGAGGCGCACAGTGCCACCTTCGACCTCTCCCCGCTCGCGACGGAGCACGAAATCAAGTTCGACTCGGGACTTGGCAATCTCTTGGCCGACTTTCCCGGCTTTGTCAGCGGCCCGCAGCAGTCGCTCGTGCTCTCCGTGTGCGGCCCCGACGCGCCTGGCGGCCGCGAGTTCTCCACCTGCCATGGCGAGCACGCCCCCGGCATTCTCGTCGAGCGCACTCCGCCGCGCTCTCCCGGCCCGTTTGGCGATCCGATTCTGGCAGCCTTCCTGGGCGGCGGCGCCGGCGCGAGACCCGCCGAGCCGGCGCGCACGGCCTGCGCGGTACTGGGTCGGCCGCCCGCCAAGCCCGAGGTGGTGCTGCTCGACGCCGACCGGCCAGAGAGAGGGCTTCAGCTCATCTTTGGCAAGGGGGATGAGTGCAGGCCCGGCCAGCGTTACTCGCTGCTGCTCATGCTGGAGTGCAACCTTGCGGAGCACGGTCTCGGCTCGCAGATCCCGGCACGCGTGCAGACGAGGCACCACTGCGAGTGGGTGGTGTCCATCTCCACCGCCGCCGCCTGCCCTGTCAACGTCGGCGCGCTCTGCGCGCCAAACTGCCCCCGCAACTGGCTCGGCGACGGCGATTGCCTGCTTGCCCTGCTCCTTGATCCACTGCCGCTCGTCGGTCTGCACCAGGAAAGAGATCTCCCTTAGGCGAGTGTGATCCCGGCTGCGACTCCGAGGCTTGCGGCCACGACGGCGGCGATTGCGACGCGCGCTCGCGCACCAACGCCGCCGCCGCCCAGTGCGCGCCCGGCTGCGTTGAGTCGTGGCGCGGCGACAAGGAGTGCGACGAGGAGTGCAACACGGCACGCTGTGGCTTCGACGGCGACGACTGCACCGGCGATTGCGCGCCCGCTTGCGCCGCGGCGTGGCTCGGCGACGGCGCTTGCGACGACGAGTGCAACACGGGGACTTGCCGCTGGGACGGTGGCGACTGCCTCAGAGACGGCCAGCCAGTGGCGCGCGAGCGCTGCGCGTGGGGCTGTCCCGGCTCGTGGCTCGCCGATGGGCAGTGCGACATAGGGTGCCACCGCCCGCCGCGACCGCCACACCGCTTG